TATCATATACTGGGCATTTATCGTAAGATACGTATTCACGATAAGTGGTAAACTAACGGAAAATAAACTTTAATGGAAAATAAACTTTATAACATCAAAGTTATTATATTTAAAAAATATCGGTACATTTGCGATGCATTTTGTAATATCGCTGATTCTATTTTACAGTTTTCGTTTATTGTCTTATGCAACTCTCGAATCCTCGTTATTTTAATTCAAACTGTAAATGGTGATGGTCTACAACGTATAAAAATATGTTTAAACTCCTGCGGCAGAATTTTGTGTAGATAGCCCCTGTTTTGGTATAGTTAACCCTTTCGTTACTGCAATTCGCTCTGCTGAAGTGACGTCACTGAACGATGCACCATGTCACGAAGTGTACACATTGCATATTAATATTTCTTATTATATTTTACTTTTGTAACTAGAAAAGACTTCACTCTCAAATATAACACACAGAAGAAGTCTGTTTAGACTTGTAAAACATATTAAGTGCATTTAATAAATATCTTTATCGATATAAATCCATCATAGGTAAATGAAGTATTGGTGTATAGCTAAGTGAAATATTAGCCAGTGACAGTTTGAAGCAGATTTGGGCAGTTACCAAAGGTTATCAAAGTTATCAAATGGCATCACGCTGATGTCGTCTAAATAAGGTGCTCGCACACACAGGGCATTGCGCAGATGCCGGCTAAACACGGCGCTTGTATACACTAGGCATCGCGCGGATGCTGACTAAATACGGAGCTCGTACGCACAGGGCATTGCGTAGATGCCGGCTAAAAAAGGCACTCGTGCACACAGTGAATAGCGTTGAGGCCGCGTTGCTGTTATGCACAGTGCATCGCGTAAGTGCGGCGCTCATAAGGAAAAGGGTTAACCTAGTCTTGTCTAGTTATCTTTTGTGGATTGAATGCCGTGCCTCATATGTTTCCACAGTAGATATAAATCACTACGGATTCATTTACGACTGTACAATATACTATTTATCACTATACTGCATGAAACATAAGGTAAAAATATTAAGATAATTTGTATTTTAGGTAACAAAGGAAACTGTTCGAAAGTATGTCTGACGCGAGAAAGGGAGGAGAATAACCAGAAAGCAAAAAAGAAAAGAGGAAATAAAGGCCACTATTACACCCTTTGAAAATTTGATTTAACGATATCGGAAGGTAGAAAAGAGGATCGAGTGAGATGTCATTAGTTATGTCTTTTTAAATACCAAACATTTCTAGTTTTATTTTTTCAGTCAGTATTTCACGAGATATCTCTATTTTGAACAATATTTTCGCCATTTTCAATTACAGCACCACCTGTGAAACAATACGTAACAACCTCTTTGAGATTAGGAGATTTTTAAACTCAAATCTACTGCGAAAAATAGGGGTTCCTATTTAAAATTTTGATGTTAGCTCCTGACCTATCCCAGGGGTTGCGGTTGGGAGATAGAGTGTGAATGCATCGTTTAAAAATATTTTAGATGCGCATTTTAAAATTTTTAATCCGATGCGTATAGTGAGATATCTGAAAATTTCCAAACATTTTAGACACCTTAAATGTATAAGAGACCTGATAATGACGTGGTATCAAAGAAATTTCTCCCTACTTTTATGTTCTAATACTCTGCTTTCTTCTACCATTGCAAGCATCTTTCACAAAATGTGCAAAAGTTGGCAACTATAGTAGTTTTTTGACAAATATATTTAGATTTTTGGAAGTCAAGATAATTAAAAAAATTGACGGATTTGCCCACAGTTTTAACAAACAAATGTTTCTAATGTATTTTAATGAAGAAAAAAAAAGATTTTGATAGAGCTTAAACGCACAATTGTAAGATTATGAGGCATTTATTATTTATTTATATGCAGTAATGGTCAAAACTATTAGGTTAAATTTTTAAATACAAGAATTATACGGGAAAGAATTACTAACCCCTTTATATAAAAAAATGTTTCATTACATTTAAAAAAATACTTACAATTTATGCTGAAGAAATATGCTGGTGAAATTTCTAGTTTTAGCTTCGTAATTAAGTATCTGAATAATAAAATCTTCAGAAAGAAAAAACTTTATATATATGGTTGATTGTATTACAAAATACAATCATTAAAATATATATATATATATTTTTTTTTACTTCTGAAAGTTGCATTTATAGTAGAATTAAAACATTTTAAAAAACTTAAAGTATTACAATGTAAATATGTAGAGGAAACAAATCTAAAAATAATTAAAACTTAAAAAATGTTAAGTTTAAACATTGTACAAAAACTTAGCTCAATTAGAAAAACATTGCGTCACTAAAAGTGGTTTTTACAAACTGATAGTATAGTGACGTACGCGCCAGCACATAAACAAGAAATGCATGTAAACAGTGAAATGAACAGTAAATAACAAACAATTATCGCCAAGAAACAAAACTATGAGGTAATGAACTGCTCCATAAACAATGAGAAGTGATGAGCACAGCCATGTATTCGTATGAAATATATAGATGAAGGCTGAGTAAGCCTCTTTTAAATTTAATGAATTTTTAGTCTTTAGCCCTTCACTCCACACTTTTTAAAAGTGAATAATAATAATTATTTTCATATTATTTGCAAATCTGCAAAACAGTTTTCAATTTTAAATTATACAGAACTGCAGAAATATTTAATTTAAACTTAGCTCTTCAGGTATGCAAAGGATCGCATTGAAAGATTAAATGAAGACTTATCTTATGTTATTATCGTTATGTATTCACGCATTATATTATCGTTAATACTTTAAAATAATAATTTAGAATTTGTGGTACGTAAATAAATTTCTGAATCAATTTTCTTTCTACATTCATTTTTCTATCTTAAAAATGAACTATTTTTCATCTGATACGACTACTACGCATACATGTAATATGAAAGAAAAGACTTAAAACTGAAACAATTTATGATTAAAATATTTTAGAATTTGCAGTTGATCATATTGTTTAGAACATCTGTTCTCCTAAAAGAATTAGCCAAAACAAATTATCTGGCTCTCCTAAAGATGTCTAAATTGGGTATAACTAAAGAGCTTAGTGAATAAACCAAGTATGTGACATTTTCAGAGTGGCTTTAATCAGAGAAAGAAGACAAAGAGTGGTATCGGAACTATTTTATTATAGATTTATTAGAAATTGGAGGTAATAATTCTTTGCTTTATTTAATTTACCACCACCTAATCTGAAATAAAAATCATGCAAGCACACTCAACACTGACGTGCATTAGTTATGTTAAAATTAAAGTGAAAACAAAAGCAATTCAGTTACATTAATCATACCAACAAGTACGTCTATTGAAATATTCTTATTCAAATATTTAGAGTGGTAGAGAATTTTATGAATTAACATTTTATTATTGATTTAATTTAGATCGATTCTGTCCTCTACTCTATATAATACTACACTATATACGCTACTATATAACTTATTAAATGAGAAAAACGTTTTAGTGCGGGTAAAAATAAGCGAATTAAGTTAATCTGAAATTATAATTTGTCGACCGTTTTAAATATTCTGGGAAGCTAGAACTTACGGATTTGCGAATTTTGTTAAAATTTTTTCATAATGGTATGTAGAAAACCGAGTAAAAACATTTAAGTTATTAGCTATCTTTTATATTTAAAGCTTTGTGGTGGTTAAAATAACTTTAATTCGATATTTTTTTAAAACCTAGACTAATATACTAAAATTTAAGTTGGCTAGTACAAAATATTCATAAAAATCGTGAAAGTTATCACGTATGTTATCTTGTATGCATATCTAAACAATCACTCTGTGTCATTATACCTATTATAGAGCTGCCAACTACTACGCATTTTGTAAAATATCTTATAGAGTGGTAGAATTTTTGATAATTTTATCAATCTCTTTGAAGTTTTAACAAGAGATCTGGAACTAAGTTAAAACTATTAAATCTTTTAAAGTAATGGTGAGGAAATGATCTTATATTAACTTTACGAAACAAAGAATTATACATTAAAACTAAGCTACCATAAGAAGAAATTTTTCAAAAAGTGTAGAAAGTTGGCAGCCCTGTGATTAATAAACGCATCTGAAAATGTCACTTACCACTACCTACTTCATTTACTAAGCTCTTTAATAAGCATTAACCTGGATTTATATAATTATAGGAAGGATTTTACTGGTATCAAAATTTTAAGAACGGATGTTATGAAATAAAAAATAGTTGATTTATAATAATTGATGTTATAGATTCGATTTCTAAAAATGAATTTTAATTGCAAAGAGCGTAATAACATTTGTATTAACAATTTTATCTTTAATATAATATCACGGATAATATATAAATAATAAAGATAAATAATTCAAAATCCAATTTTGTGGTGTATTTAGAGAAAAACATTTAGAAACCATGACTAACAGTTTACACCAATTCTGTGTATCTTATGCAAAACTATATATTTCTTTGTTTTACCCTTATAAAAATATTTAACTCTAAAGAAGCTGACCCACTCTAAATTTATAATTTTATACTGATATATTTATAATCAAAAATTAGCGTCATTATACAGTAAAGGATAAGTAAAAGTTAAGTTACGTAAGAAGGTAGCAGTGTCCCGATAGAAGGAACTAACTGATAGTAATATTTCATTTCAATCCGCTTTCACTCCTTAATAATCATTTTTCAGATAAATGAAAGCACCAAAGTGAATCCCAATTCAACTAAACAGTAAAGGTACTGTTCGTTCAAAATGATAATAACAATACGCCATGCACTAATTTTCATTGAAGTGACAATTACTTTGTAAGTATATAATTGCTAAATAAAAGAGCTGCTCGTAGGTTGAATCAAATATCTTTACAGTATGGTTTTATAGATATGTTTTGGTGAAATAATTTGCATGAATATTTTAAATTTAAATCGGAAAAAAAATTTACTTTGTAAGCAAAAGCAGATAAAGTAATTTCGAAAGTACACAGTAAAAAATAGCATTCGATTTTATTTTTTTTTACCTCCGGAACTTCTAGAAAAGCTGGGTAGTGGTGATATTCTTATCATGAGCAATAATCCAAAAATCAAAGCAGTTGTGCAGTGGACGAAGTCAACTAGCTAACTGTGAGTTGCGATAGTCGTACCAGATTATGCTAGAAAAGCGACGCACAATCAGATAACGCCTGAAGGCTTTTCCCGCCAAGGTCCGAATTTCTGACGTAATTCAAAATTCCATAGAAATACGGCGTTAAAGGAACCTAGTAGCCATTATCATTTATTAGTAAATACGGTATGTTTATTATTTGTATAAAGTTTTAACTTGGAATTGTGTTCGAGGTTGGTCATAATTAGTCATAACCAATTACGTCACTTTTTATTAATTGGTCCAGAATTTTATCAATTTGCAAACATAAAATTAGTTTAATGGAAAAAAATATAGCACGTGAGAACACTAGACATTATCATTTACTAGAATGTATTGCTTGCTTATTATTTCAAAAATGTTCACACGGAATTATGTTCGATATTTGATTAGTCATAACCGATTACATCACTTTTTATTAATTGGTTTAGAATTTTATTATTTTACAAACTTAAAATTAGTTTACTGGGAAAAAAATACAGCATGAGAGTACACTAGACATTATCCTTTACTAGAATATATTGCATGCTTAATATTTAAAAAAAGAATCACATGGAATTGTGTTAGAGATTTGATTAGTTATAACCAATTACGCCACTTTTATTAATTGGTTTAGAATTATATAATTTTACAAGCTTAAAATTAGCTTAATGGAAAAAAGATAGCACGAGAGAACACTAGACATTATCATTTACTAGAATATATTGCATGCTTATTATTTCAAAAATGTTCACCCGGAATTATGTTCTTAGTCATAACCGATTACATCACTTTTTATTAATTGGTTTAGAATTTTATTATTTTACAAACTTAAAATTAGCTTAATGGAAAAAAATATAGCATGAGTGTAAACTAGATATAATCATTTACAAGAATATATTGCATGCTTATTACTTCAAACAGTTCACATAGACGTATGTATAAGATTTGATTAGTTACAACCAATTACGTCATTTTTATTTATAAGTTTAGAATTTTAGCAATTTACAAACTTAAAATGAGTTTAATAAAAAAAATATGAAAAAATACAACTTGAAAGAACCCTAGATATCATCAATTACTTCTAAATACTACATTCATTTTACAAAAAGGTTTTTAACAAGGAATTGTGTTAGAGGTTTAAATAACGTTTGTAAAGCAATTGTTTTTTGTTGCATAAGATTTTTTAAAATTCACTCAGTTTATGATGCGATACGTTAACGTCATATGTTTTTAGTGTTAAGTATTATTTCAAAAAGAGCAGACATGTGTATATGAATGCATATAAACCCATGCGTTCTTTATAAACTTGTACATTCGGGAAAACAATCAACTAAAAATTTCATTTTGAAAAAAGAAATAAGCTTTCCGAACAAAAGAAATTTCCTTATAAAAATCCTTGCTCCCGAATTTAGTAAAATCAAGTACTTGCATAAATGCAACAAAAAATGCGTTCTTCGGTGTAATCTTTAATTGAATATCAATCAACAATAAGTTTCATTTCCCTCTAACTATCAAATTAGAGCTGAACAAATCTAAATTAACTCTGGAGAAATAAGTAAAAAAAATTTTTTTTTGGTTAATGGCGGGCATTTTGGTCTATTTCCCATTGGCCTCAGAAATGCTACTCTCTCATCGTTACCCAGTGAGCACCTATGGCTAAGCCACGGCGGAGTAGCGTCGCCCACGTCATACAACCACAAACCCGCTTATATTATAATATTATATTATAACCGTCGTTGAACAGACGACCCAATTTCATGGGTTTACGACTACTAATGTTCAACTCCGTATCCTTGTAATTTTGAACCAATCCAGAAGACAAGGAAACTCCAGGATCAGTACCCCCAGAGGTAATGATTTGTTATGGGAACATGGAGGACTTTGAGACTCGACAGATTTAACGTGCATCAGTCACCATTTACTACACGGGGAGTTTTCGGCCGGCGAGGATCGAACCCACGACCTCTTGGATATGGGCCCAGCACCCTACCGACCAGGCTATCAGAAGAAAGGACATAGAACACAGAGAGAGATTCGAACCCGCAAACATCGGCTCCGCAGTCAGGCACGCTAACCACTCGGCCATCTGGTCGGCTAATTTTAAAATTTTATTCTATAAATTTTTTATTATTACTCTGACTTAATACTCAAATTATTTCTAAGAGACCTTAGTCTTATTCAAAAAGTTGAAACATTAAAAGATATTTAAAAAAATGCATATTTTAATAATTTGATCCAAATGCCTTTAATTAAAACATGTATTTTTAAACGTGTTTTTATTAAAAATAAAGTAGTAATTTATATTCAGTGGAGAAAAAAAATTGTCGGTGAATTTTATATTTCTATAACACATCCCATTCAAAATCAATCTTCAGATAATCAACTTAATACTGTTATATGTACTTAGTTGTTTGTTAGTTCACTTTAATGCTGAAGGATAAGTTACTTTTAATTAACAAAATAAATTATGAAATTACGTTGTTTCTCAATGCAACGTCCAGATTCATAGCAACTAGTTTTCTATAAGATTTTACTTTTAAATTGGCTGCAAAATTTACGCTTTTTTCAAATTTTATACCGAAACTTACAAATTTAATTTAAAATTGATTTTGATCACCACAACATACAAATAGACTACAACTACGATGTATTTTCCATAGTTTCAATATATAGTTTTCCTAGTGGTAGCAAGGTAATGTATTTATATTTTAATAAGTTCGAATTAAAAGAATTTTGTCCACTATACTAAACACAACAGCCTCAAATAATTGGACAATAAATCAAATATATTTCATAACTATTCATAAATACAGGATGTTCATATGATGGTTTAACCCATTCCGGCGCAGTGTTGGCAATACTTAATCCAAAAATGTTACAAACCACTAGAAATGTAAAACTTGCTGTTCTGCAAGGAGTTAAGCTCTCGCAAAATAAATAAAAATGTTAAAGGGCTCCATCCCCGCTTGCCAAACAATGGAGCTGCCGAAAAACATGCTAAAAAAAGATCAGTTGGTAGGTATGCACTTAATAATTTATATTTACTAATATTACTAATAATATAATTTAATATATTTACTCTCAAAAGATTTAATTCTTACATAAATTAAATCTTTTGAGAATAAATATATTAGTTTAGGGACCTGAACTAATTACTATTCATAAATTAGATTTAATTGTTAACCAAGTAATAATTACATCACAAAAAACTTTCAATGGACGAAAATATTAAATTTTTTAACATTCAACTCGATGATCGAATTTTCCTGCACTAGATTACAATTTTCATGATTTAAGATACTAAAGGTTAGCTAATTGAATCCTTTTGAAAGTTAAATCTAAAACAAAAAATATCTTTTTCTGGTTTGAGATAAACATTAAAAATATGCTAATCAATAAATCCTTTCAATCATTAAGTTAAAATCAAAACAAAAGATATCTTTTTCTTGTTTGAGATACACACTAAAGATATACTAACTAAATCTTTTCAATCAATAATTAAGTTTCGTTCAATGATTAAGTTAAATCCAAAACACTTTTTTTTCTGGTTTGAGATACGCACTAAAGATATACTAATTAAATCTTTTCCATCATTAAGTTAAATCCGAAACAAAAAATATCTTTTTCTGGTTTGAGATACACACTAAAGATATACTAATTAAATCTTTACTATCATTAAGTTAAATCCGAAACAAAAAATATCTTTTTCTGGTTTGAGATACACACTAAAGATATACTAATTAAATCTTTTCAATCATTAAATTAAAATCAAAACAAAAAATATATTTTTCTGCTTAAAAATAACTTTTATAAACACTGTTTTGTATTTTTACCCACTGCAGTAATCTGGAAAAATCAGTTCCAATATTTGAATTAACACAGTGGTCAAAAATGTTGATTCCTTAATGTTTTTCTATTTTTACTAAATCTCTCAAAATCATTGAACAAATTAAAACAATTTTACATATAATTGTAAAACTTATTAAAAAATAACGTCCAGAAAAAATATCAAGTAACTGTTTTAATTTTTATTATTCAATGATAAAAAGAATTTTGAATAATAATGCAATAAAAGTTTTGTATAATGTTAGATTACATAGTTTTACTTGCATACATTTTGAATAAATAAAAAAATTGGTTGATATTTTTCTAGAAATAATTTAATAGTATTTACATTTCAGGACATTTTCCGAAAAGTCAAAGTTGAAGGACATATAAATTAATATAAGTTTGAAGCAGCAAACAGCATGTATAAAGCACAAATGAAAATACATAATTGGACATACTACAGTTTTACTTCTATAAACAAGAACCTTCCTCAGTGTCAAAACATCAAATAAAGGTTGAAAAGTAAAGAGACAAACACATGTACAGTGGTTTAACCAATAAAGACAAAGGAACAAGTTTGAACAAAGAAATAACAAGGGGAAGATAAGAAACATGTGTGAGGGGATCTGGGTGTGCAACAGATGAAATTAAAATAGACTTTCAAATATTGGGATACTCGAAAGATCATTAACTGAATTATTAGAATTTATCAAAACATAAAATGACTCCCAAAAATCAAGTTCGGAAGGTGAAGAGCAGTGTCGAATGATCTCAGTAGAGGAAAACTCAAACCTCCTTTTCTTTGATTTGCGCTTTATTCATGATTTGTTTTGCTTTAGTCTACATAGTACAAAGTATATCCTATCCTTTGTCAGATAATACATTATAGCTCTTTTTGCACAGAACATTGGATATTATGCTTTATAAAATAGATGTTATCTTTTACTATATAATGACGCCTACATGTATCGGATTACCATTTGCTTCGACAAAGTGTACACAATAAGTTTTACATTTCTTTATTTGTGGAGGAAATTGCTTTTTACCATTTGACGTGAAGCTTCATTCCCGGGCAGAAAAAAATTCTACAACCTTTGCTAGCTTTAAACTTGAAAAATGCAAAAAACTTTACAGGAGAAATCCTTCAATACAGGGTCAAAAAAAAATTAAAGATTTAAAAAAAAATTCTATAACGTAGGGTACAAAATAAAATACGCTAGTTCTGAATAAACAAATTTCAAGCTCAAGTTAAATAATGATACTTCTATTTGCTAAGACAAAAGTCAAACAAGGCATTAAACTTATAGATATATTAACAAAAAATTATGAATCAAATAAAGTTCTTTATTTCATGATAAAATATACACATGAAAAATAAATAAAACAAATAACACATAGTAGAGAAAGCTATAAATAAAAGACATAAATAAGATTACCAATATAATAAATAACATTCAATAAATAAATAATAAAATACAATAACTTTAAAAAAAGATTACCAAATAAATAAATAACATTACCAATAAGATACACAACTCTTTTCACCTATACATTCAACAGTAAATATGATAGAAAAAATAAATATCTGGAAAATTTATTTTATATTCTTTGGTAAAAAAAATTTACTAAAAATAGAAATTCGAAATTGTTAATCAAATTTTTATGTCTCGTATGAGCCCATACATTCTAAATAAAGTTGAGACGAAATTTGCCTCTAATTAGGAAGATATAGCGCCTGCTTTTAATATAGTATATAATTTACCACAAGATGCTAAATAAATCATAAAAGATACAAACTTTGTGTCGTTTATGGAGATTACCTACTTTTTTTTTTTTTTTCAAATAAGATCTCAGAATCTATCTATATATTTCCATTCTTGGAAATTTGATGATAATAAGTGGCTGACTGTATTAACTAAACTGATATACAAAATGGCATGCACTGTATTAATCAAAATCAAATTATAATAATCAAAATTGTAACATTTTAAGAAATAAAAAGTTTTTTTTTGTTAAATAATCACTTGTTAAAAAAACAATTGGGACTAAATGTTTAGATATTAAAACAATTTATCAATTAATTGCACCATAAATTCAACAACATGAAAAACCATAACTGGAAAGGAATTTAAGTTATTCGTTTATATACATAACAGGTAATGATATTACTTTGATGATATAAAGCATAAAACTTTGATGATATGAAGCATAAAACTATGCAAGGAAAAACAGTGTTGAACCGATATCACTAAAATATTAAAAAATGAATCACACGTCACATAACAATAAATACTGATCTTATAAAACTAATAGTTATTCTTCCATAGTACGGTAAAAAAAACAATAATACTTTAAAACACATTACATTGAAAAGAAAGCATGACTCCCCTAGCCTAATTAAATGTATGCAATCAATTAACTTGTTTATGCCTATTAATTTATCTATGCAATTAATTTATGCCTATTAAACTCATGAATTTATAAATTTAAATTAAACCGAGTTTGACCACCAACCAAATATATTTAGCACAAATATAAATGCATGATAACTATATGATTATGTGGAAAAATAAATATTGTTCTGTTAGCAATTGTAATTTTATTGACACTACCACTTGGGAAAATCCTTTTCTGAAAGAATTAGAGTAGACAAGTATGGTATTTCGTCATAATCTCATACCAACAGACGACAATGGAATTTTCGTAGTTCTAGAAAACATTTTTTCTAGTGGTAGCAAAGGTAATAATATAATATTAATATTCTAATAAATTAGAATTTAAATAATTTTTTCACCACAACACATAAATAATTTAAAAGGATATATAAAAGGTCAAGTTTGGCCATGATCTTATATCCAGATAAAAGTTTGAGACAAATTTAAAGTTTCTTATTAAAAAAAAAAAACGCATCCTTAGTGCACTACCACTGAAAATAATATTTTTCAGAAACCTCAAATGTTAGAAGGTATATGAAATGCTACACAGGAGTATCCTGAACAGATGTAGAACAATTGACAAATGTTTCTCTTGAGGTATTCAAATCTGGATTCACAGCAGGCTTCTTACTACAAAAAAGAAAATTGAAATAAATATAACTCAAATTAATTGACATAAACAGTTTGACAAATTTTTACAAGATAGGCATTCTATTAAGAGTGATCAAGATAATGAAAAATTTGAAAAGCTTTTAATGGGAGGATAAAGTATAATGGTAGCTAAATAATAAAATTTTTTGAGGAAAAAAAATTATTAGAATATAATAAAATGATTACTTTCTATAATAAACAAAAAAACATGTTATAATTTTCAACTTATAACACAGAAAATCATAAAAAAATTACATTTCAATACTTTGTTAAACATTATTTTACAAGTTGTCTCAGTAATAACAAAAAAATTCAAATTTCAGCTAAGTAGATTTCTTTCTTTTTCAAATCTAAAACTCTTTTTCAACTTTATTTAATGAAAATTCATCAGAAATTTTTAGTTAATCATAAGATGAATTTTCATAATAAATGAAACACTACATCAGTCTTTCTTGGCTTTATTGCAACAACTGCATTATCCTTTTAAATTTTCAATCACAGATATAAATTGTAATTGATCTCAATGATACAGTATATAATTTTCCCCATCAAGGCTTAGGTGGCTATACTATCTGTCTAATAAAAGAACTCCCCTCACCAGCTGTGTATAGTACTGTCGGTGCTTATAGAATAAACTATATCAGTTAGGGGATATAATATTAAGAATAAGTTCTATGACTCTAGCGGTTGAGAGAATTTTCATAAGTTTCCTTCTTTAGAAGACTATTTTCTTGTTTCCACAGTAGTAGATGGCTTCAGAGATCTGTGGCAGGAATTCTTTGGTTAGATAAGATAGAACATTTATACCTTTGAGTTAAAACACTGAATCAGAAAACCAAAAGAATTATATTACATAATTTAAATAGGAAATGAATCTCCTCTAAAGATGACTTTTCTGGTAAGGTTTAAGATATTTTGTGTACAAACTTTCTAATCAAATTTTTTTTATATAATACATATTAATAAACTCTCATTTAGTAATGATTATTTGATTTATGCAGTTTATTCTCAAATTAAACTGAGCATATAAAAGGCTGAAATATATTCAAGAAGAAGAGTTTTTATGGTCAAGAAACTATCAAACGATGCTTTTTTCCATTTTAATATTTTTGGAGGTTTTTTAATTAAAAATATATATCACCAATACATATTTTTATATATATATTACCAAGATATATTTATATTTAAAACTTATATAATACCAATAGTCATCAATCAAAATTTAAAGTATCATACGAATATATTTCAAGATAAAATCTGTACTCCATAATAAGATTATTTAATTAATTTATTTGCTTTGAAAATTGTTGCAATAAAAATGATATCTAAAATGACTCTTTTTGTCAGACAATTAAAAAAACATTGAATTTTAAATTTTACTATTTCATTGAGAAGTATCCCCCACCCTAAAAAAGAATTTACGGCTGCTAGAACAAAGACATAATTTTTAAATTTAATTGTCAAGTTATTTTTAAAGTGAACATTTCTTGGGAAAAAAAACATAAGAGAAGCTAATTAAATTAGTTTTGTAGAACCATTTTATAAAGTGCATATTCTTAATAAAAAACTCTGAATTTTTAGGATTTAACCAAGTTTGACTATACCACAAATATTTCACATTCTATGACAATATAAGTAAAACATTATATTAGAAACATAGAATAAGAAAAATAAAAGAAACAGCAGAAAAAATACTATTAAAAATAGATAATTAATAGAATAGTTTGAAAAAACATACCGGAAGTCAACAGAAAATTCGATATTCAGGTCTAGAGTTTCCTTTACCAAAGAGTTTTACTGCAATGTAACAGATGAAAAAGTTGGGAAAATTATGAATTAAAAACAATAATTTTCAGAAAACCCTCTTTGTTGTCTCTATAATTATTGAGAATTTATAATAAATTTTAAAAGAAATGGAGAAAGAAAACAAAAGCCAAATAGATATGAAAGATTTATTTTTTTCATTTTACCAAGATTCATAAAAATAGATAAAACACTGATACAAAATAGTAATGCAAAACAATACTAAAATGACTAATAAAAAATTGTACTGCGACTATTAGTGTAAAAAAAATAAAATAAATGAACAGTATAAAAATGGAATACTTTAACTATATCTGAAAAACATACAATTACATTTTATGCACTTATAAAGTTGCCAACAGGAAAATTAAAATATACAGTCGATTTTATGAATATGCTAGCTATTATGCAATACATAGAATATTTTAGACATAGGGATTTTTATAGTCAATAAAGCATAAAAAATTTATTTATCTGATAACTATATATTCTAATTGAAAGCAATGATTTAGATAAAATGAAATTGNAATAATAACATTAATAGACATATATTTAAATACCTTATGTAAATTAGTAAAAAAAAATATAAACATGATCTTTAGTGGGAAATTTATATCAATATTTTATAATTAGGAATGCCGGTATAATAGTTTAAAAAAAAACATTACCTATTAATATATAATTATTCTTCGCCAAATTATAAGACACATGTAAATATTAAACTATATCATAAAAAAATATTTCTGATGCAAATGTTTAAATACTACAATAAATTTTAAAAACAATTCTAATAGTTGTTTAAGATTCAATTTAGAGCCATAATACTCATATTGATGAGCAACAGCTATTGGAATAGTATTTTCCAATAAAAAGCTACAAAAAATTACTTCTGCACAATAATCACAGGAAGCGCGATTGCAGCGATCAGAACAAGGGATTGGTTTAAAAGCAAAAATACTGCAATTTTAGATAAATTTGTATTTTTCTTAATAAAAATATCAGATTTTCAGACTTGATTTAAAAATTAGGAACAAATCCGAAAAATTCTGGATAGTTGGCAGCTATGTCATAGGGATTTTTATAGTCAATAAAGCATAAAAACTTTATTTACCTAATGACAATATATTCTAATTGAAAGCAATGATAAAATGAAATTCAATATAGAATGATTTTTTTATGTTTATATTTTTGAGTTCATTATTTTGAATATTAATAGATATTTCATTGATTTCAGATAGATTCCTGAATCGATTTAAAAATTGGGAATACTGAATATGATCACTGAAAATTTTAGAATATTAAAAAAAAGAAAAAAAAGCCATCTTTAAACTGATAACTATAAGTGAAACTTACTTCATTATTTAACCGCAATACTTATTTAAATACTCAAGCAAGCAATGAACTAAATAATAAAATCTGAGGGCATGTTAAGGAGTTTCATTTTCCCAAAACTTTCTTTAAAAAGTATACATAAACCAGGATAAATTGGTAAAATCCAGTGGTATACTGGAACAAAAACGCTACGGTTAGCAGCTAAGCACTTATACTTTAAAGTCACAATGCAAACCTAAATTGTACTGCTAAACACAATAAATTTGATAGGAGAAAATTATCCAGAGTTTGATGTTCTATTTTACCTATTGTGAGGATAAATAAAAGATGGCATTGGTTTTAATATTGGCAATGCGAATCAATTTTATAATGGTAAAACATATTCAATGCTGTAAAATCTATTCTAATATTGAATAAATTTAATTACAGTGGAATAAACTCTTATTTTGTGCAGCATATTTTTTAAAGTGCAATTATCTTTAATCAAAGCAAATATCATTTAAATAAAAGAGTAAAAATTACAATTCTTAGCGTTTTAGAATATTCAAGCAATATCCAATGCAAAAAATATTTTAAAAAAACACTTTCACTGTTGCAAAAAATATGGAAAATAAGTTCTATACAAAACATTAAAAAATTAAATGTGAAAAAAAAAATTGGTTTATTTTTAACTTTTATAGTTGACAAAAACCACTCTAAATTTAAATACTATGGTTACTTGACGAAAACTTAAAAATAAGTGAAAAAGGTTCATAGCACACTATTAAACATTATAGAGTACAAAATTGGACAAGCTTTGAGGAGTCAATAATCCAATATAAATAATATTTAGAAATGAAATTATGGTACAGTACACATGCAATTTCAAATTCAATAAAATTGTGGTACAGTATGCACACAATGTTATACTTTATACAATTGAAAAATTGTACAGTATGCATATGATTTACAAGTTCATGCAAGTTATGAAGATGTATAAATATAAATTATGACAATTACAGTAGAACCTTGGTTATCCAAATACCCCTGTAAATCAAAGTCAATACTGTAATTTTTTAAACAATTTGCACATTTATTTAATTTTTCCTATCTATTATTTCAACATTATGACATAATTTAGTAATAATTCAGGTTTAAAAAAACTATTAATACTACTTGAATACATAAAATTGATTATTTTATGAGTAACAAATAGATATTTTGTTAGTCAGTTGCTTTGATTTTGGAAAAAAAAAATTATTTTTGTAATTCGCAATGTTTTATCACGCTTCCATCTCTATTATATAGAAAAAAAGAAAATTATTGCTCACATGGAATATGTTTTATAATATACAATGAAAATGGAATCCAGAAAAAGACTTACAAAGATTGCACAAATGGTTTATTAATTTTTAAAAAAAGGAGTACTGCTATCTCTGAAAAAAGTGTTAGGGAATTTTGAATAAAAATATTTTTATATCTTGTTCACAAAAAGATTGAATAAGTATACAGCGTTTTTTGATGAAAGTAAGTTAAACAATGCTAACTTGATAATCTGAATATTCCACATACCCGAAGTAGGTCTGTTCCCAATTACTTTGGATAATCGAGGTTCTACTGTAATAATTAACAAAACTGGTTCAGTACAAATTGAAGAAAATTCAACAAAATCATTTTTCTAAACAAAACGTTCAGCTTCTAAATGAAATATAGCTAGAAAGTAACATAAAATATCGATTGTATAAGGCACTGTAAATTGTCGAAGGCTTTTGTGCAAAATACAACAAAAAGTGATACATTTTTCAAATGAATTTTTCAGGAATGATTCTTTACGATTTGCTCAAACAACAAATGAATATCAAGAGACACATTAAATTACTGTCTAATGCAGACAATAAATGTCAAATGCATAAGCTTACAACCATTCAGTTAAAAAATTAAAATTAAATTATTACAAGACAGAGATTGAATGATAAAGCTCTTTTTAACATTAAAATGTTATTAATTAGTTTGGTCCCCATATCAAATAACATTCTGTCTAAAATATTAAAAAATTCTTAGAAAAAATATTTTTTTAAAATAGGAAATTCTATACATTACGAAGAATATATGTTTATTAACAGCATTATATATATGTCTTTTTTTAAAAAAAGTGGATGGTTATGATTTGTATATTTAATTTTATTATTTATAAGTAAAGATACCAAACCAAAGAAATATTAAGAAAAGTTTGAATAAAAATCAGCAATAAAAAAAAAAAGACTGAAATATACATATATTTGAAATTACCAAAATAATAATAATAAAAACCAAAATAACATAACACAGAATTTAGAATAATTGATTGGGATAATAAAAATATGTCTAACATTATTACTTGTTCCATTGGTCACGGCAGTTATTGCCATGATATGTCAGTCTTATAAAATGAAAAGATTTCAAATCTTTTTTGTAAAAAAATCATAATTTAACATTTTTTTGAGCAAAATAAAAGGAAATAAATATAACAAGGGGGAAAAAGGAATATATAAATTGATTAAGATAGAATTTCTTAAATAATTTGTTACGTTCATTTTCCTTTTTAAAAAATTAAGTACAATGGAACTAAAAATAAGCTGTTGACTTTTGAGGATTTTCTTATGATTAGCAAATTACTTTCAGGAAGAATTAAAATATCTAACAGTTTTATAAAAAAGTTTGCTAAATTATCAAAAAAGATTCATCCATAAGTTTTTTAAAATTAACAACAAAAAAAAAAGATCAAACTTTCTAAATTTTAAAAATGCTTTGAATAAGTAATAATTCAAATATTTAAGCAATTTTCAGACAATGCAGTAAAATAAAAAAATAAATTAACAATTAAAATTAATATAAAAACATTAAATGCATAGTTTCAGAAGGTTAATGAAGAAATGTGGAATTTTGTTTTAAAGAATATTAAAATTTTAAAACATACAAACAAATTTTTCATGATATATTTTAAATGAAACAAGTTCGTCAGGGAATGAGAGCAAATTTTAAAAACCAAAAGAATTAAATTTTGATTTTTCAACTTGTTGCTTTTGGTTTTTCATCTTGTTTGATTTTTCATCTAATCTGATCCTTCACATATAACAATAACACTTAAATGAAAATTTTATTTTTCAACATCACAGTTGACATTTCACTTATCACACAATGGAATGTATAAGGAACATAATAAACAAAATTTGACTTAATAGGAGTCATACCTTCTAACTTTACAATACAAGAGGCAGAAAACTAAAGTTATTGTAAGTAACAAGGCTGCTACAGCAACGCTACCCCACAAAGCACTTGTAACGACTCTCAACTCATTAACACCGGGCTCTAAGGTTGGGGCCAATGTTGGAGGTTCACGATCAATAAAAAAGGGTAAAAAGTAGTTCCAAAATCGACTTTCTCTGTTTCTGTAATCGTTAATCATTCGACTTGTTGTGTTGGATGCATTTAAATTTAAGTAAACATAGTTATTTTCACTAACAGGTTCCCAGAGTATTGTGTTGAAAAGCCGACGAGGTGTTGGATTCCTACAATAAAAAGAGAAAAATGAAACATAAGAAATTACAAATACAGGATTGCAACTCAAATCTGGAAAAAAAATTCCCTGTGTTTTCCCTGTACATGTTCTACGCAATATATAAAGAGGAAACAATAATTACTGTGCTCTTGTGTGAGCTACATTGGGCTAACTATATTTATTAGTTTCAATTGCTGGAAAAACAGCTGAACATACTTAAACAATGCTACGGTAAATGAAATAGTTTAGTATAGCTGAAATATCACGGTTAAATATCCCATAGATTACGCTTTGAGTAGTCACCATTTTTTAAAAGAGCAAAATAAAAAAATAAAATTCCCTGTATTTTCCCAGTTTGCAAAGAAAAATTCAAAATTCCCTGCATTTTCCCTGTTATTTTAGGTGATTTCTAAATTCCCAGTATTTTCAAGGTTTTCCCTGTTCTCCCTGTGGAGTGGCAACCCTGATAATACAATTAAAACACAATTATAATAAAAGAGTCGTGATGGCTAAGGGGATAGAGCACTCGCCTGCCAACGAGGTGAGCCTCATTTGATCCCAGCAATGGCTAAGATTCAAATTCTGCACCCGGTTCGCACTGATTGCAGTGCCGACGTAAGATATCCTCAGTGGTCAATGAATCACGGGTCACGATGCCGTTAGGCTAATGGTGGGAGGTTTTTCTCTCTATGTAAAGCAAATGCGGGTTAGTTCCACCAAAAATTACTCCACAAAGGCAATTTTCTCCCAATTCTTGATCCAGGAGGCAATTAGAACGCTACAGAGTTAAACATTAGTAGTCGTAAACTCAAAATTGGGTCGGTTGTTCAACAACGGTAATAAAATATAATTACAATAAAAGGTTGCCTAATTTTTGTAATGAATCACTCTATCCGTATACTTTGTTTCTGAGCTACCATACTCTTTTGTATCAAAATATTCAAGTGTGATATAATATGTGACAGTAATAAAAATATTAAAAAAATGCAGTGAAGCTATATAGTTTAAGCTAATTAATTCAGGTTTTTAAACCTTTCTTTTAATTATTATTATTCTGTAATTTTAATTCAAAAATTTAAATTATCAGAAATATTATTGATTTGAAAAACTGAACTGAATATTATTTTAGCTATATAAAACTACACACATATGGAAGCTTTATTACTATCTTACTTAATTACAAAATAAAAATGCTTAGCAAATAATGCAAAATTATAACCAAAGTCTTAGAAATTAGCTGGTCTTCTTTAATGGTTATTTAAAAAAATAGTAATAAAATTATTGCAAAAACAAATAGCAAGAAAAAAATTTAAAAACTTAAATTTTAGTTATATTATTAATTATATCAGATAAATTATTCGATCATACAACTATATATTATGAATGAGTAGCACATCTCAATTAAAAGATATCTGTGCATATGAAGATGTTAAATTTTAGTTTTAGAAGTTATTAAATTTTAAAATTAAATATTTTTTTTTCTCTATGAATTAAAATAAAGAATTAGACAATGGAAATTTTAGTGAAGTGTAACATAAACTATTCTTTCACAATTAAACTTTAAAAAAATATTTATACTCAAAACATTTCTCTGTAGAATGAACAAAACAAATTTTTTTTTTTTAATTTAAAAAGTGGTGTAAGTGTGAAAAAGATGTTTAATGCAATAATTTTTTGACAAATTTAATTTTATGCTATACAGGAGAATAAACTCAAATTCAAACCAAATTATTAAACATAAATAAAATTTAGTGCTGTCTAAATATTTTACCCTTCTTTGGCAAAATTAGCCCACGCTTCCATCATTAACTGACTCATATTTCTGTCCTCTTCTGTCCATTGGGCAGTATTCAACCTTAAATATTCAGGATAGAATTTTGGATCCATAAATGGAGCTCCAGTTAGAAGTAAATCTTCAACTTGCATTGATACAACATCTATAAAAGGGAAAAGAAACTTTTGTTAAGCTGCTTAAAACTTTCCTAACATTGATCGGAAAATATTTAGGATTTAACAGTGACCATGTAGCAAAAAATTGGAGAATGCTAATTTCTTGTAATATCATGCCAAAATAATTTTTTTAAAAATATAAATAGTTAAATATTTTTGGGTCACTGTATAAAAAAAGTTACAGGAAAAAAGTTTTAATACTTATTGAAAAAGAGTAAAATTTGTAATAGTAAGGTGCACAATTTTTTTACATCATTTTAAAGCATGTAATTTTGCATGATAAAATACAAAATTTGAGTGAAACCGATTGAATAGTTCTTGAGAAATTTAATTTTAAACCTATGACTTCTTTAAAGCTTAATATCTCAGGAACTATTCAACCATTTCATATGTTTAAAATTAAATTTCTCAAGAACTATTCAACCAATTTTACTCAAATTTTGCATTTTATCATGTAAAATTACATACATTAGAAGGATGTAAAAAATTGTATACCTTACAGTTCCAAATTTTTTGACTATTATTTAATAAAATAATAAATATTTACTAAAAAAATTAATAATTATGTGCAAAATTTGTTCTATTCCCTTAAAAAGTACTTGAGATAAGGTGAATTACACAAAAAGCAAAATTAACAGTAATGGGTCCAAACTTTAAATCATCTCCAGATCAAAATATAAGGACCATATTTCCCTGATTACAGCTACCCCCTATATTTTGGGGGTCAGAAATCCAAATTTGTCGAAAAAAAGTTACGTTTATTCCAAGAAGGTATGTTTTTGTGTCCGATTTCGTAACTTAAAATATCATCTGCACCAATTAATTTGCATAATTGAAGTCACTCCCGACCATTAAGAATGAGTCCTGGAATGTGAAGAACCTCCAATCATTAGATCAAAAGTTATTTAGGGTGGTTTAATTTTTTTGGCACACTGTACTACAAACTTTCTTAACATATTTTGCTGTAAACAGTATTTTAATTTATGGAATTTAACTATAATTTTGCTTTTCAACTATAATTTTAATATATATAATAACTATAATTTTGCTATATTTCCTTCCAGCAAACAGATTATATTACAGAAATGTGAGTCATATCCTTGGAATCACAACCACGTATTTTAAATTATCATAGACGCTAATTTTTACACGCTCTAAAGACAGTATTTCTTAATAGAAATTAAAATACTATATCCTAGGAAAAACAATTCATTATTTTTAAGTGGTAAACAAATTGACATGGCTCTATTTAAATCATTTAATTAAATGTTATTGAATGCATTTTACCTGTAAGTGATTAGTCAAACATAAAAAAAAAATTTGAAATTATTATTTCTTTTTTACAAATTTTATTACTAATTGCAATTATACATTTGTTTGAAAAAGCTTTAATAAAAAAAATTCTTTTTTTCTTCTTTTAAAATTTATAAAAAAGTTTAACAATTAAAATTTTTCAAGTTTTTTTTTTATAAAATTTCCTTTTGCCTGTTTTTATAAGTTTTTGCTTGTGTATGTCATAGTTTTTTTAAAATTAATTTTAATGAAATACACTGAAAATAATCACTGAAATTTCTGAATTGTCCAGAACACTAAATTCACTGAATTGCCCAGGCGTATGAAACCCCCTAACCCTGAATTATTAGTACTTCCTTAAACCAGTATGTAATGATTTATATTTTTTACATCTACATTTCTGAGGTCAGTTTGACTAGTTTAAATAGTATTTCAACAAGTATGATTTATACATAAAATTTTTAATAGAACCTAAATCAATCGTAAACACTTTTCATGTAATGTTGCTGAGTTTAAGATTCAAATCTTTATATACGGCAGGGGGAGAAAATGTTACATAAATAATATTTACAAGCTGTTTACTATCTTACAGGTATGTTTAACAATCATTAATAAATATGTAATTACCATCAAAAATAGTTGATAAAGGACCCAATATACACTTAACCTATGAAAATAAACTAAACATTTGACTAACAGTGTATTGTTCAGTACAACTAAAACAATTAATATAGAAATTGCACAGATAAACATAGTGAAAAATGTATTAAATTACCTTTTGCCAAAAACGTATATCCTTGAAAAGTATAGTTCAAGACATAAGCATATGTAGGCACTTTGTTCTTTAACATGAGTTGTAATGTAGGATCTAATGGTGAAACATAATATCGATCTGTAAGTAGCTAAAAAAGAAACATAATTATAAAGAAAGCAAAACTATTATGAAACACTTAAGACAGTAACAATCAACATTTGATTAAAATATAAAATAACAATAAAAAAAAACTATCTTTGACCAGAAACTGATTTTTCATTACTTTATTTAAATTTGATTAACTTTTAGGATTTATTAATCATTTTATTCCATAATTAAATAAACTATATCACAGTTGCAAATTGGATGTTTAAGAAATTTTATAAGATTAGCAGATAAATAATAAAAAGTGCTTTCAGATGGGTATAGTACAAAAACTATTAAACATTTTTCATATATGAACTACATGCTTTTACAATTTTTTTTAATGCAAAATAAAAAATGAAGAAAAACAACCATTACAAAACAAAAATTATGAAAAAAAATTAAAAATTCTTATCAATAATCAACTATTTGGAGAAAATATCGATGTTAGTAACATAGAATCCATTTTGTTCAAAAAATCACACAATGAATTTTTTTATGACAATCATTAAGGTACCAAATTAAGTTAAAAACAAAACAAAAAACTAACTTGTATGAATTGTTGTTTAAGAAGTGTTTTATTTCTTGAATCAACGGATGGTTTATACATGAATCGTATAGCCTCATATATACCTTGAGCATTTATAGTATAATTATACATCCTCATAAACTCCCTGATTTTTTGATTAAAAGTTTCCTCATCAATTTCTATGTCTCCTAATGAATCATGCCCTACAAAGAAAAATTATTTCAAAAGAGAATTCAATTTGATAATACATACAGAGTCCAATGTACACTTAAAACATTTTTTTAAAATCCTCATCAAAAACGAAGTAAAAATAAACTATACACATTAAAGGTCAAAAACTAATATTATTTTCTCACTTAAATATTAATTTGAGGGTAGTATTGTGTGGTAGAAACAAAGTATCTTATTAGTTTGAAAATTAAGGTAGTCCACTCAAACCTTTTTTTGCGCAGTGGATAGAAACCGCATTAAAAATCACACAGAACTTCATGAGTAGCTATAAAATATAGTTTTCGCAACACAACAAAAAAGTTTTTTTTATGGGCTAGGTAGGGACCGCATAAGAAAAATCTCACAGAGAGTCACCAAGAGCTGTAGATCTTCACCTGCTGTCCATTTTAAAATCATAGTCTTAGTTTCTAAGGAAATAACCTTCCTCTTCGCTTTATTTTTGCAATTATTCCATTTCAGAGAATATGTACAAAAATAAGACCGCATAAAAAAATCTCACAGAGAGTCACCAAGAGCTGTAGATCTTCACCTGCTATCCGTTTTAAAATCATAGTCTTAGTTTCTAAGGAAATAACCTTCCTCTTCGCTTTATTTTTGCAATTATTCCATTTCAGAGATTATGTACAAAAATAAAACAAAATCTCACAAATTTATGTCTAAATAGAAAAGTAATAAATTTAAATTCAATTATTGCCTTGAAATGAATCTTATCTTAATCCAGGAATGTGAAAGCATTTTGAAGGATGTCAATTAATATGAGATTTAAAAATTAAAACACAAGTAACATTCTTTTTTATGAAATCACTTTATTTAGCAGACTTCTTAAATCTTTCTTAGATCAGAGATGAATAAAAAAAATTTAACTCCTACCTACTTGTTAAAACAAACAAAACAAAGCATGAGACTAGTTGCCATTTATCCCCTTAACAAAAACCAATTTTGCGACTTAACAAGACATGCAGTCTGTTTCATGAAAACCCGAATTAACACAATGCATGTGTCTTTCAATGTTTATTTGTAATCAATGAATTTTTCCTTTGCTACGCAAGAATTCCATTGCAATATGCAAATTACACATTTCATTTATTTAATAGGAAATTTTAGAGCGTTCAACAATTAAATTATGTTCAACAATTAATGTAATGAGCTGACACAATACTTATGTAAAGTGACAAAATACATATCAAAAATCAAAAAAACTAAATGGTAAAAAAATCCTTCAAATTTATTTATTTTTGATAACGTAAATTATGTTAAAATTTGATTGAAGTTTTGATATACTGCATACAAAAATTGCACAAAAAGAGACAGCACAAAAATAGGTTTGACTGTATTTATTTAAATTGACCAGTAGAAATTTTCCCACAACCCAAGCAGTCAAAAAATTATGGCTTTACAGTATTATTTTATAGTATAGTACAGATTTATAGTATATTCTGGATTTTAAGTAATCTATATTGAAATTTAAATCAACAAATGAATCCCATTTTTCTTTCTTTTTTAATATTCCATTCAAACAGGACAAATTCATGTGCATAGCATATCAATTTAGAAGAATACAGTTTAATTAAGAAGCATAAAAACTTGAATCTCTTCATAAACGGTTAAGAAGTACAGACAGTTGCACTTAAACTTACATTCGTAATGGTTGCTTATAATAAACCATTTCCCACCTTTAGTTATTTTCCTATCATGCTCATTTGTGGCATCATTAATAACAATCCTCACTGGTGATAATCAATTCTTTTATTACGAATGAAAGTGAAATGATTGCTCAGTTATTGCAACCTCAATGATAATGAACACTAACAATTATTTCTTTAAAAAAATAATAATAAGGGAACATTATTTTATTAGTGCAACAAAGTATTTCTCAGTTCTTACATAATATTGAAGCTCCTGCATCTCGACTCACACCAGTCATGTAAGCAAATCCATCGTTAAACAGCAGTCCTCTTTCTAACATTTCTTGGGGTGAAAGTGGAAGAAACTGGTGTTCTGCATCTCTTGTGAAGTTATCGAGAACTGGGCCAAAAGGAAGCCAACCAACTCTGGGCTAAAATAAAATATAAAGTATACAATACTTTTAAAATTCCCCTACAAAGCTTAATCTAATTAATATGTAAATTTAGCTCAAAGGATAATTGGTCAAGCAAATAAAAAAGCCACAGCTTGAATACTTATACTCGAAGCCAAGCTTTACATTCAAATAATAAATATATACTATCCTGATGTAAAGAATTGACAGGTCTTTAAAGAGCAGAAAACTATAAATATTGAAAAATAATAACCTTCTTCGGAAATTTGCGAGATTTTTCTACCTACATGCAAGTTAATGACTAATAGTCAAATTTTGTATAACTTTGCAAGCCCAACCAATGTAGTGGAGAAATGTTTCAATTATTTAAAAAAAAAAAAAATTAAGCAACAAAGGCTTCCTATTTTTTAGGCTTTTCTATGCACTGATATTTTGCACTATTTAGAATAACTATTATGGATGCATAAGAAGTACTACAATCATTTGAAAAAGGGGCTACATTAGAGTAAACCAAAAAAAAGGGTAACCATTTTTTTTAATTAAAAAGAATAAGATAAAACATACATTTTAAGAAATAAAACAAGGTAAGACCTTTTAACAATAGTTAATAAGTATATCGTTGAAGATTTAATATTTCTTAACACAAAAGATGAGCTTGTTTATAAAATGAAATAGTTTTATGTTTTCGAACTATTCTTAATATTTTAAGCGTGACTTCTTACCTTCATGGCATAACTTGGTAAATAAAATTAGTGCGTCTAAAAAATTCCATATTCCTTTTATAATGTTTAATAATAACATAAAGTGTGATGTTTAATTTATTTTTATGTTAGTACTAAGAAATTTATTTAAAAGTAGTTTTGGCAGTTAAATAGGAAACATGTCTAAAATAGTTATAAAAAAAATTTCCAGCTAGGCAGCAAAACAACAATAACTCAAAGCGCAAAAAATTGTAAAAATTACTACTTTAACAACAAAAACGTGAAAAATATCTTAAAATTTTATTTAATAAAGTAATTCTGATTTTGTTTGATTTTTACCATCATACTAGAGCTACACTAATAGGTTGTTGGCAACAGATAGGGATTCATTCATAATGATTATCTGATTATCACTATTATAAAATATTTTTAAAATAATTAAAAAAAAGAAGAAGAGCAAAGTACTTAATTCCAGAAAGAATTTTCAGAATTAAGTAATTTGAGGAAATTAGCAAAAACAACCTTAGTTCCTTATAAGTTTTGTATTTTTCTCAGTCACAAAATAAATTTATTTAACCTCTCTACTAAGTTTCTAAACAACAAATATAAGATTTAAAAAAATCTAATTGTTGAAATATTTTTTGCATTGAAAAAATACCTGATCAAAATACTTTAAAAAAATCATACCTTCATTTTTAATAATTTCACTTCATTATTTGTCCTGGTACCAACACATTCAACAATTCTGGCCATATCGGGATTAGAGCAGCCCAATTCTTCAGCAAGTATCTGCGTTGAATTAAACATGTATATGGGATCTGTAATTGCTGCCCAGTCAGCAAGAGGAGAACCATTTTGGGCAATAACTCTCTTGACCATTCCTATAAGCATGTCATATTAGATAATTACAAAAAGAATTTAAAGTCACAAAATTAATCATATTGTCTAATAGTTTTTAACTCTGGACACAGATTGAAATGCATCTTTAAGAAAGTGCAGTTCAAAATGTGTGTTTAAGAAAATGGATACAGCTTGAAATGCCTGTTTAAGAAAATGGGCATAGCTCATAATGCATATTTAAGAAAACGAACACAGCTTGAAATGCATGTTTAAGAAAATAAGCACTGTTTTGAAATTTATGTTTCAGAAAATGGAAAAAGCTTGAAATGTTTGTTTGAAAAAATGGACATAGTTTACAATGTGTGTTTTAAGAAAAGAAACACAGTAAAGAATGTGTTTTAGAAAACGGACAAAGCAAAAAATTTGTGTTTTCAATGGTCAACTCAAATTTAACAATTTATTGGAGAATTACATTTTAAAATACTAAACACAATTATAATGGGGCAAAGTCGCAAACTTAAAGGTTGAGGTGGCTGGGTATATTACAGATGTAACTTTATTAGACATCACTTAAAAAAAACCTATGATTTTAAAAACCCAAATTTGTGCAACCTCACACTACTATTATACTACTTACTACTATTATAAAGTTATGGAACACATGACACTAAGTGATTTAAGCAAATGGAAGACACAACATTGTGGGCTCATTTCGATCCATTAATTTATCCTTTGAAAAAAGTAAAATTTTCATAAAAAAGTTTTGAAAACAGAATCAAATTCTATATTCGTTTTCTTAAATAGCTATGTCTATTTCCTTAAACATGCATATCTGGTTGTGCCGAGAATGAAACGTTTGAAGACACTAATAATTTCATGATAAAAATATGAAATAATATACATAATAAAAATAGAAAATAACATGAGTGATAAGGAAAACTTGTGTATTTAAAAATGTTACATTTCATCATAGTTAAAAACATAAAATTTTAGTTGGCTCCAAAGAATAAAGTAATAAACAAGAGATTCTTTTCATATTAGTAAATTTCATACATATAAGAAAAAAAATTCCTTTCTTTTGTAATAAACAGTAATCAATATTTCTCTTTTAAACATTTTTAATTTCATTGTAAATTAACCATATAAAACTTTAAAAAAAATTACAACATCAAGTGAGAAATTCTAATATACACATACATTTAAATAAAATAAAATTTAACTATTAGTTAATAGTTAATGCAATACCTTTTCAAAAAAATTAATTTTTGAAAATTTAAGCAATTGAATTTAGAGAAACACAATTTAAATCAATTATTATACTAGATCTAATTTAAATTTATGGATCACATTCTCAATATAAATGTTGAATTCAAGCATACTATTTGAATTTTTTTTTTTAAAAAAAAATGCATAGCTTATTTTACTTATCTCTCGTTTCTTATCCATCATCCAATACAATAACAAGGGATTCCTCTTATACCATATAGCACGTCAAATATACAAAAAAAATTATAAATAAAATAAAAAAATACAAATTTGAGCAGACACAGAAAAATGTTATGATGCGTTCCCTGGGATATGCAATTCTCTAACACAAAAAGAAAGGTGCCAGAAGATTTAAATAGACATAATTAAATAAAACTTTAAAAAAAATAAATGTATTAAATAAATTAAAAAAAAATTTTGTTGCTAGAAAAAAAAATATATATATAAACAAAAAATATAATAAATACTATAAATGAAACAATTATGACAATTTCAGATCAGACTGCTGCCATTGAAGAATAAAAATGGGAGACCAATGTTATTTCAAATAAGGTACCAGCTTTTAGTAAAAGAAAAACTCAAAAATTTGAACGTACTGTGTCCTAAGGACCCAGAGTGAGAAAGTGAGAGATACCTACTGCGAGATAAAGGTGAGATAGCAAGAAGTGCAGCACTAGCACCTCCAACACCCGAACCAAAAACAGTAATCTTAGTAGGATCCCCTTCAAATACAGGAATATTTTCATAAACCCATTCCAATGCTTTAATTTGATCCAGCATGCCATAATTGCCAGGAGAATGATGGTCACCAGTGGCTAAAAAACCTAAAAAAAAAAAAAAAAAAGTCATAATAAAAATAACTTGATTTTTTTTTTAAATTATTGATTCAAATCATAAATATATTTTTTACTTTGTACTACTACTCCCTTTGTCCTAAATTAATTGCAACATTTGGATATTTTTGTACTGATTGATGATATTGATGATTTTGTTTGAACATTTTTCAGAGATTTTAGGATGCGATGCAATGCAATCAATCAATAACATTTACTTACCAAGCATTTTCTCCTTAAATCAGTACTAAATTAGTTTAAATAATAAGCTCTTAAGCCAAACTCCATTTTGTAAGGACTCTTCCACCAGCAATCCTGTAAAATTATCTTCAAATAATGAATCATGAATTTAATAGTAGTATAATTTTACTGGTTTCGATCTTTAAATTGCATTGGAAGTTATTTATGACTCTATCTACTTGAAATGTAGCAACTAATATGAGACAAAATTTTTGACCCAAATGTAGAAACTGATTTGGGACAAAGGGAGTATTAAGTATCGATATACCAAGATTGTAGGATTTAAGCCTAATTTTTTTACAACAAAGGCTTTAGCCAGAGAATACAGGAATGGGGAAAGAGAAACCAAATGTAGAGAAGAATTGAAAGTAAATTTTAAATGGTTAAATGTAAAATAATTTACTTTCACTAAATAAACCTTTTAGTTATATCCAGTTAATTTTAAGTTTATTTAAATACAAATGTTTAAATTAAATGCAAAAAATCCCTTTTTCAAATATCTCTCGTAACTTGCTTGAAATTTGGGAATTTTTTTTAGGATCCAAATCAAAACAAGTCCCTTGTTGCTGTTGTAAAAATTTCTGTTATTATTATAGGAAAAAAAAAGAACTTGTTCTGGCAAGGGTTATTTGAAAAAATTTATTCCTTTTAATGCTTTCTGGAAAATTAATTTACTTTTCATTTGATGTCTAACTAATAAATCATGCAGTCTTTAAGCTTAAATAGAAACAACCATGACATTATTTATTTAGTGATTTACAGTTTTAGTTAGAAGTAGATTAAGTATTTTAGTTGCAATATTGTTATTAAATAATAAAAACATATTAATACATTTTCAAAATCAAATAAAAAAATGATTTTTGTTTTATTATTTTAAAATAATTCTTATCAACCCTGATAAATAATAAATACCACTTTAGTAATTGCAATCAATATTCTCTTCACTTGGTTCTGCTCTCAACTTAGATAAAGGGGTGCTAACATTTATAAACAGGCATAAGTGCACAAAAATAAAAAAAGCTAAACTTTTACAATGCTGGAAGCTGCATGGATTTAGCGCAAAAGTATTGGATTAGGTGAAAAGTATTTACTCAAATATGCAATTAAAATTTCTTGTTTCTGTATATTTTTGTAAGGAAATATCAGAATAATCAAGAGGATATCAGCAATAACTGATAGAAAAAGTGGATGAAAAAGTGACTAATAAACTCATGAATTGAATTTTGCGTGGTGTTATAATACTGTATAAAAATAAAGGAATTAAAAAAAACATATACTCAGAAAATTTGTAACAATAGTAGCCAACAAAGAGATCGAAACACTGCATGGATTTATGATGGTATCAACGCAAATCTAACACATCAAAAAGTCGTTGACTTGCATGATTCAAATTTTGCATGTCGTAATACTAGAAAAACTACGAGAAAATAAATTGCATTAACTGTAAAAAAAGAAACTGAAACATGGATTTATGATGGTATTGAGAGTGTTAAAAAGTGATTACAGAAAATTGTGATTTTAAATCTTCTTGACCTAAAATTTTATTAAAGATTAATTTGACCTAAATGTAGTCAAATAAAAGAGGGAGCAAATATATCACATTGATTAAACAATTCTGCTGTTAAAAATCGGAATTTGCATAAAAATTTCTACTCATTAAAATACAAATTTTTAAAAAATGAGAAAAATAAAAAAAATTTCTGACGAAGGATAGTTTAAATATTTGCCATTTCAGAATAACTTTTTAGATTATAAATTTTTTACTTATGTGCTTGCATCACTTTGCTCAGCAATTGCTTTTTTTCTCTAACAAAATCTATGTACAAAAAGTTATGGCCAGTGAATAAGAACTTAGGAAGAATAAAAAGAGGGCAGAATAAAAGCTTTGTTAATGAGATTTTGCCCGAGTAACTAAATTTAAATTTTAGATTAGAAGAATGCTGAGAAAATGCTGTCAATATATAAATTATTGATTCGGGGAGTCCACCAATTAATGGTGTTGAGATTTGCAGAATTTCGCAAATTACCAGAAGAATTACATGCATGAATATATCTCATTTAATAAGCTATGGAATTTGAGGTTGTCCTAAAGATTTCGACAACCTCAATCTGAGGTTGTCCTAATTAGAGATTGTGAAGATTGGAAACGTTAGTCCTAATCAGAGATTATAGATAATAAAGATTTGGACAACATATTAAAATTTGAATTGTACCTGAATATCCCAGGCGATAATTAAATGTAACAACTACAACACGTTGAGAAGCAGCTAACATTTGACCAGGAAACAAAGAACCACTGCCATGATCCCAACGCCCACCATGGATATAAAACATAACTGGAAATTTTTCTCGGACAGGCATATCTAATCTAATTTGAGCCTAAAATAATAAAAAAAGTTATAAAGACATTGCATTTGTTATGATTTAGTTTAATAATTCTATGAAATTTAAAAATACATAAGTTTTGAAAACAAAAAAATAATTAATAGTTAATTAAAATCTTAATCTAAAGGGTTTAAAAATCTTAATCAAAAGGAAAATTAAAACAAAAATAGCCTTATTTTTTAACATAAAAATCTACATGTTTAATACAAAATTAACATTTGAAATAAATTTTAATTGATTCACTATTACTATTGCTATAAATATGCCTTGATTTGTAAGTTTCTATGATTTTTTATGGCTTCAGTTCTGAAAAGTTATACATACTACATTTGTTTTAAAAATCAAAGCAAAAAAACAATGTGAATAAAGCACAAATAAAAGTATATAAATTGACATACAATAGTTTCAGTTCTATAAACAAGAACCTTTCTCGTTGTGTAAACAAGAAATGAAATTTCATTTCAATCATTTGACATTTAGACACTAAGGAAGGTTCTTGTTTATAGAACTGAAATTATTGTATGTCAATTTATGTATCATTTCATTTGTGCTTTATTCGTGTTGTTTTTTAATTCAAACTACTTAGCATAAAGTATTACCTTTTCCTTTGTTGGATTTTGAAAATTGTTCATATTTCTCATGACTGTTAAATAATGTCAAGTAAAATTTTTTAGTCCAGCTAGTATATTTAAAACTGAAATTTAGTGCTCTAAAATTTCAGTAGAAAGGAAGATGTAAGCAGTTTTAAACCTCATTTAAAATTAATTATAACATAAATGAATAATGATTTACATGCAAAGCTATATTTTTGATAGAAGATACTAAATATTAAGGATTTATCCAGAATTTATATTATCAAAAACTTGTCAAATCTGAATCTATCCATCAATTAAATTAGCTTATGTACATTATTTTTAAACTTACAGGAGAAAATATATTTAGGTACAGGCAGTCTTCATCACTATGGTTAGTACCTCTCCCTTTAACAAGATATCTTTCATTTTGTGGACAAGCTGGCTTATAGCGTGATGTATCCAATTCTCCAACTCTTACAGGACCCACAGGTGACTACAGAAAAATAAATTGGAAATTACAAGAGATTCAACAATAAATTATTTTACATTTTCATCAGGAGAGAAAAATGTTGAATTGCGAATAATAATAAAAAGAAAATAAATATTAATTTCTAAAATTTTTTACTGCAATATGAGTTAGAAAGGATATTTAAGTTTAAAATAGCATTTAGCTTTATATGTATAATACACAAGCTTCATAACACTAACCTTAAAACAATGGATAGTTCATTATAAAGAATTTTGTGTAACATAAATCCTTTCATTAAAGTTACGAACTAAACACGGCAATACGTATCTGCCATGGATCACTACCTTGCTCTCCCTAAGCGTTTTTAGCAGGGTGGCAGGTCTCACCTGCCCTTTGAGGACTAAATTCAGTGATTACATAATATTACACATTTTGGATTTCTAGAAAATGCTTAACATTTTGGAATTATTTTAAAAATTACCAATTTTATATTTTTGTGTTTGTCTCAGTAATTCCTTAATTTTAACCGAAGTTATTATAGAATTTTTTTCGTGATGTTTATTCAAAGTTGTGTTTTTCTCTAACAAATTTGTGTAAAAATATATATATATGTTATTGAGTGAATGAGAACCGAGAGAAAAAAAAATGCTGGTAAAGGTAGAATAAATGCCTTGTAACGAGATTTTGAACAAAATTAAAACTTTAGATTAGCGGAATTCTGAGAAAGTTGCGTTGGAATATAAATTATTGATATGTTGTAGTCAGCGAACCAATGATGTTGAGATTCACGGAATTTTGTAAATCAGCGGAAGAATCATATGCCTGGGATATGTAATTTATGAGTAGGGCTGCAGGTCAGTCGCGGAGCGAATTTCCGGGAAATTTTCATCTTTTTTCCTAAAATCCGCAAATTTCTCAATATGTCCTAACTTGAGGGAAAATTGCTTAAAATTTGATTTTTTTTTTCATTTTTTATTTATTATTTTTATTAAACATAATTTTTTATTTTCCTGAACCATAAATTGAACATGTAAAATTGATTAGATACTTAGGGGAGTGAATCAATAGCAAAATGACATGAAAATAGTTCAGAGATTAGAGAAAATCAATATCTTGTCAAGTAAGGTGGTCTTTCTACACTTAGGGAGGGAAATTAGCTTCCTGAAGTCAGTAAGAGAACAAAAGAAATTGGAATCACAAAAGAAGGAAAATGTTATAAATCAAATCTTTGACAAAAAAATTGTTACACATGCTATTACACTGGGCAATGCAATTTCTACAGCCTTTTCACATATCGAGTTAATTTTTCCTAGGCGGCTTCTTGTGATTTCTTAAATATGGATCAGTTTCTTAGATGAAGGGGGGGGGACTAGTATTTAGTAGGGACTTGTAACTAGTAGTTTGAATGTAGAATGTTTGAGGTTTCACAGCAATTACTTCTTACAAAGCAACAGTCAAGGAATTGCGCGTTGGTGAAGGAAAATTGATCGAGTTTTGGAAATCAAAGACCGAATGCTCCAAAATTGGCAATTCGAAGTTTGTCGGTGCCTAAAAACAGCGTTGGCGCAGAAAGATAATTTTCTAAGTATAAAAATGTATTAAGTGATGAAAGATGAAGCATAAATGAGAATAATCTGACAATGTACAATACTTTGTACCAAAATTCTGTTCATTTAAATAAAAATATTAATATTGCTTGAAATTCAAAGAAATACTTTTGTTGTGTATTTTTACGTTTTTTTTTTATTATTTGCGCAATTTCTGTCCTTTGCATGATTTATGTAATAATTTTTTTTATGTTCAGAATTCGTGTAATTTTCAAAATTTCCCGCGATTTTTCAGCGAATTTGGGGTCTTTTTTCCCGCGACAAACTTGCAGCCCTATTTATGAGCATAATTGGTGGTGGACTTATATGCTGGCAAAAAATTTAAATGAAGTAAAACTACTTTTTTCTGCATCCAGCATGGCCCTCACCATCTTTTTGTAGAAGTACTTTGGTTTTTTGTCAGTCAAATCGTATGTTTAGTTTACTCTATAACTTTAACAGGAACAGATTGTCAGAAAATTATATTTTCCTAATAAACAAAACATACAAGAACATCAAGCAATAGTTTTACGTAATTTTATTATTGATACAAAAATTTAACTTCCAAATATAAAAAAAGAAAAACTATTAATTTCTAAATTATTGTTTTTTCCACAATTAGAGCTATTTTGTAATATAAAATCATGTGTTGTTTAAACAACAAGTTGTATTCAATAAATTATTTTAATATAAATCCATCAAGATCCTATTTTCAAACTTACACAATCACTTTAGTATTAGCCAAAGTATTATTTATATATTTTTTAAAATTTTTGATGCAGCACATTTCAAAAAATGTAAATTTCAATAAAAAAATTTTTTAATTAGTAAACGTGTAGTATACTAGTGAAAAGGTCTTGAAAAGAGCTTTAAAATTATACTTACCATTACAATGGTACTTACTCTTTAGCTTTAGCTAAATTAATGTCATTTAAAAAAAATTGGTCTGCAAAGGCTATATTTTCAATAGAGTAGATAATTTTGAATAAAACTTGGTACACACAAATACTACCTCTATACCAAATTTTATTGAAATCTAGAAAGTTGATGTAAAATGAGTGTGTTGATTTGACATGGAATGATCGAAACACAGAATAAAATTTACTATGCCAAATAAGCTACTTCTTAATGAAAAAAAAAGAGAAAATGTTTTGTTAATAGCTACAGGGGACTGTCTAATTTTTTCTGAAAGGTACCTATTTTGTGAAAATTCAGACATAATTTGTGAAAATTAAAAATTATAATAAAAAATCAACACAAAAATATGGATTTATTGTTTCTTATGGGATACAAAAATAAAATTTTAAGATAAAGTATTTTGTGAAATGACCGTTTTTCTTAAAGTTGAATTTGTGAAGGTACTGCTAAATGGTAGTAAATTTGGCCTGGACAGACCCCTGAGCTATCAACTATTTTTATACATCAAAAAGCTGATTTTTATAAATTTATTAAAAACTATCTTTTTATAGAAAAGCAATTAAATTGATATGACAAATTAAATTAACTACCAGAGAAGTCAAGCTTAAAAGAAGAATGTTAAGTAGCAAATGGTAAACACACAAATTTCTAAGTTTAAATGTATGCTGTAGTTGGCTACAAGTTCTGCATATAAATATACTATTTCATTAAGGCACTTATCAATGCAAATAATTGTTTGTTAAGCAGTTATTTAATGTTTTTGCGCATTCTAATAAAGATTTTCTATAATTACTTAAATCATAGCTTAAAATATATTTTCAAACAACCCCTAAAAATGTTAGAAGAAGTTTCAGGGATCCCAGTATCAAATTTATTTGGGGGCCCTTCTTCAAAATGCGAAAAGTTTTATTCTCATATTCTGTTACTTTTTTAAAACATTTCATTTGCATTTTTTATAAAGATATGAAAAAAGTCCCTGTTTCTCCCTTCCCCTTGAATAGGGGATTGAATACTTGGATAAGATAAACTATGATTAGATAAGCGGAAGATAAATTAAGCTTAGTGGAAGAAAAATGGCAAGTAGCACATAGTAAACCATACATTTCTAGGTTTTAAAACATGTTATATTTTACTGTAAATACGGTATATTAATTTAATAAACTACTAGACAATTTTCAAAATAAACAAATTGTTTTATAACCAAATATCTTATGGTTCTGTGCATATCTAAAGCTTTTTTTCACATTCGCTTTATGACTTAAATATATTCAGGGAGATTTCCTTCCATGTCGTGATCTGTGACAGAATAATCGCCAAGCCTTGGAAACTTCCGACCAGTGGCCACGAGAAACAAAAAAAAAAAAAAAACACCACAGAAAAGAACCAACTGGAAAGGCATAACTCGTAGCCACCCCCGGGCAAAAATTTACATGTTTTTTTTTAAAAATTTGCAAATTTAAAATCTATTTGGCACCTTGGCGATTGTAGTTGGCGTGACAGATCACAATACGGAAATATCCCCATACATTCTTCCAAAAAATTTAAAATATGTTAAAATGATTTTTAATGGATATTTCGCATCGTTTGGGAAATTTCCATAAGGTGATCTGTGGCGGAATAATCGCCTAGTCTTGGCAACATCCGGGCAGTGACCAGCGAGCAACTAAAAAAAAACATCACTGAAAAGGACCAACTCAACTCATAAATACCTCTGGGCAAACATCTACAAGATTTTTTTTGGTTTGTTTTTTTAATTTGCAACTTTAAGATCTATTTGACACCTTGGCGATTGTAGTTGGCGCGACAGATCACGATATGGAAATATCTCCCATCTTTTCTCCAATAGACTCAAAATATGTTAAAATTACTTTAAATGGATATTTTGGTTCTTCTCTTCTTCCTGGAGGACTGTTACGATGCAACGGTGGTTCCGCATAAGGAATACCTAAAAATACATTTACAGTATTTTTTCGTCCAAAAGAATTTTGTCTCCCAGGTCGTTGATTTAAGAGAACACCAGGACTGTCACATAAACTAACTTGTCTGCCTTTAAAATTTCCATACCTTGTTTCTTTTACTATTTCTAGAATTGGTGGCCTCCCATCGCATCTGCTATCGTCCACTGCATGTTCAAATTCTGTACTACTGTACGAAAAGTATTTAGTATACAGTCTGCCATTTTGATCAGTATAATATTTGTATTCACGTTTATCATACCCATATTCTTGAGTAAATACTTTGACAAATAAAATGTGATAGAGGATGACTGTGAAAGTGGCAAGTCGGAAATAAGAGTTTGTTTTCATTTCTGATCATCGTTTTATTGATATATCTTTAAAAGTAGACATATAAATAAAAGCCAACACCCAAATAATAACGAATTCAAAACTTGTTTCTAATCGATTGTTTACCTTTTTGCATCAATGAACACTAAGGAATCAAAGTTACAGTCAAAAAGATTGAGGAAATTGGAAATTATTCTTTTAAATAAATTATAGATGGCGCGTAATTCTTAAATCAGTATTAAACATCCCTGAGGATGATCGGAAGACATGCCATCACAATTTTGATCCTCTGCAGAGGGGATGGCACCCTTGCTTTGGTAGCTCGACGACCTGAGCGCGAAGTCAAGCACTTTACGTTAGAACAGTTTAACGAGGACCGATACTGCGCACCCTTGGTTCTTACACAGGCCGATCAAAGTGGTCACCCACCCACTTACTGATCGCAGCCAGTGATGCTTGACCTCTGTGTTCTACTGGAAACTATTTCTTTAGGATCAGCCCACTGCGGGACAAAAATTTCATGTGATTTTTATCCTGTTATCATTTAAATGGATCATAAAAAATAAAGAAACTTACAAAGCAATCATATGGGGACTATTTACACTGGATGCAAAAAAAATTCGGGCACGAGAATTCAGCTATGCGATCAAGAACCTTATTGGCGAAAAAGATTAACTCGCTAATCAGGTTTTCTATCGGATCTACAATTTTTCCGATATGGAAAAAAAAAATCGTACCCAGTGTGATTAGTCCTTTAGGTACTCAAAAATCCCATAACCAAATGTTAAAGGGCGGGATAGCTTGGCTTGTTGGGCGTTGGACCCATGGACGAGAGGTGACTGGTGCACGTTAAATGTATCGGCGTCATTAAGTCCTCCATATTCCCATAACAAATCAATACCTCTGGCGGTACTGAATAGGAGATTGGTAATGCTCCGGTCCCGGTCAAAATTACGATCGGTTGATGGATCGATTGTGTGTAAATGAAAAAAAAAAAAAAATCTCATAGCATTTTAAAAATGCAAAAGATACAAAATATTCTTCCCTGCTGTGCGTTCAATTAATAAAAAAAAAACTAGCTTTTTTTTCACTTTTCTCTCTTTACACTGATTCAATACTACTTAGTTCTCATTACTATTGCAATCGATAATAAAGATTAGAGATTTCTTAAATAAGGGAGGAAAAACATTTAAAAATTATTGATCCCTTTTTTTTTGTGTGTAATAAATATTATGCATTTGAAGTGCTAGAAAAATGTTTTGGTTTTTAAGTTTCCTCATTTAATATTGTTTTTATTTAATTTCTGTAGGAGTTTGAAAATATTTTAATTTGAAAAAAATTGCAGCATAATTTCTTGGTTTATATGATTTTTTAAAACAACAATTGAAAATTACTTACTATTTTTCTCAATATCTGATCTTTTCATTTTCTTTACTTTATTTATAGTTGGTATAGAATTTTTTTTTAATAAATTGCGCTAAAAATTGAAATTTTTTTAACTAACTTATAATTATCATTTCCATAGATATTTTTTTAAAATAAATAAGAACAAAAAAAAAATTTAATTGTTCATAATAATTGAAAAATTTCGTTTGAAATTTTCTCCCCCAGCCAGGATCGGTGTAATCTTTTAACATAATGGTAAAAATACACGCTATAAACCTATCCAAAACCTATTAATATAAATCAATTCGACCGACCAAATCCATTTTTTCTATGGTTAGGGGCAGATTTTGAATAAGTTTCATTCCAGCAATACTAAAATATGAAAAAATTAACAATAAAAAACGAACGAAACTAACAGCTTTTTAATTAAACTTCATTAAGTGTGGTTGTTTTTAAAACAAATTTCATAAAAAAATAGCTGGTTTTATACTTTCCGCCTTAAACTGCCTGATACTTAAGTAGAGTAGTTTTGTGTGAATAATGCTAAAAAAATGGGGGGGGGGGGGGGAAAAAAANAAAAGTGGGGGGGGGGAGTGAAAAAAATATGTAAAAAATACTAATTAAACTGTAATTTTTGAATTGGGCATCTTGTTTTAGAAACATATGAAAAAAAGAAATGGCTTTGGTTTTAAGTATTCGAAGCTACTATGAAATTTTTTTAAGTTTTATAAATATTATTTGAGTTTATGCGAGTATTTGATTATAAAAAAAATAGTAAGTTAATTTTTATTTAAGTTTAGTAAAGCTAGCTAAAAAATCTCAAAACCCAGACACAAAAAACAATTCTTCCCACTCATAAACTGTTGAAGTGGTGGGAACTTACTCACCGGATTTTGGCAAAATAAGTCAATAGAATGAGTATGAAATATTACAATTCAGAAAAATAAACATTGATCCCAGTGTGTTTATTGAATTAGTTGAGGCATGAGACAATCGAACTATTAGTTATGAAGTTATAAAGGTTTTATCAATAAAAAGTACTATTTTTGACTTGAACCTATTGATTCACCTGACTTTTTATTATTTTTTCTTCAAATGAAGTACTGTTTTCTCTATATTTTTTTCAGGCTGATTTGAATGAGACCAAATACGAATTCATAAGACTTAATAGTTCTAAAGTTGTTTTGGGTTTTATGAATCAAAAATGTTAAATATTATTTTCACTCAGCAAACATTTTTTCTCTTAACTATTTGGATCAAATTTGGTCTCATTCGATTTAGCGTAAAAAATACACAAGAAAAAATATTTTACTTATCCAAATAGATATGAAAGAATAACGTCAAAAGTGTTTCAAAAGTTTGTTGCAAAAATTTTTGACATTACTACCAATGTAAAAGCAATGCTTTTTGGATGCCAGATTTAACCTCACTTTCTTGTGAACAATGTTTATTATCCCTATTACACAGTAAAAATAGGGTTTATATATTTTATTACATTTGGAATGACGAGTGTTCTAACTACTTAAGAATCAATAGTTTTGGTCAACTTCCGAACACTTTTAGGAAATCAAAGACAGTTTTATCCTTTGTTTTAATCCGTGATTAAATAAATAAAAACATTCAATGCAGTTTCAAAACAATTATATTTACTTCCATTTTTTCCAGCTAACACTTCAAGAATTTTGACTATTTTCCAGCATTTATAGTCAAAGCTTTTCATTATGGTTTTGTAACGTACACAATTAAAAATTTCTAGAAAATGAAGGAAAAATAGCAATTTATTTAATTATTATTTAACTATATTCAATTAAAAGAGTCATGTAAGTATAAGAAAGATGGAACTTTGTGAGAAAACTTGTATATTGACAATTTTAACATACGATGGTTAAACCAGATATGAGAATCGCAGCACAGCAAATGAGAATCGAGGGCATGTTCTTCAAAAGTGGGAAGTTAAGTGATTTGATAAGGCTTAAGAATTTATGTTTTTATTTTTCATCATTGGATGCCTAATAATCTTATAGTATTAAAGGTACGCTGAACACCTCATGAAGTCACTTAAATCCTTGCAGCTGGGTACATACTTGCTGAAAAGGCTAATCTGTCAATCTTATGACCTGCAGAATGGGGTTTCGAATTCTGGTGTTTATATCACAATATTTCTCCCATTCCTTCAATATATGAGGAGTTTCCAGGGTTCTACATAACTCAATTGGTTACCCTGAACTGTTGGAATAGGAAACTCTCACTCACGCAACACTACAGAGCTGCTTAACACAAAAAGTACAGTATTTCCCTTCTCTCACAATGCTACTAATCGATAAACTAATTTGGATACATTACACGGTTCAGTCGACGAAAGACAACTCAACTACAACCTAATTCTGATGTCCATTACCTAACGAAAAGCGCTACATAACATAACTCCAATGTACAGTTAAATTTCATTTTTATGGTTTTGAAACCATGTAAATAATTACAAGTTACCCGTTATTTTACTGTAATTTTGAAATGAAAATTCGAATAGTGTAGCATAAAGAAAGTAGACAAGACAAATTAAATAAAAAACTAAAATGGCGTGGCAAAATAGTTTATCAATTTTATAAATATAATTACAGATGAGATGCAATGAAGGAACATACAATAAGTTGATGCATTTTTCAGACTTTCTCAATGAATACAAGGCATGGAAATATGTAGTAATAAACTAAAAAATTTTTTTTACTTATCTTTAACAGGAATAAATGATAAATGAAACATAAAAAAGACATGTATATGATGAAATAACGAGTAAAAAATTATTATCAGTCATGTCAAGGAAATATGTATAAATTTTTTAAAAATATTTTCAAGACATTATGAAATAATAAAATATTAAACTAATTTTTATTAAACAAATGCGAGGCGTAACGAACAACATGTTAGTTTTAAAAGTTTCAGTGATAAAAAATATATCTTTCGTTAAAGCTGAGCACAGTTGACAATAATATAAAAAAATATGCAATATTCAGAACAATGATTGTCATTTTTTGAGCATTATATTTTGAGCTCTTCAAAGCGAAGCTTCATAAAGTTGTCATAGCAAATTTTTAACACCAGAAAATATGTTGCTTCAACCCTTTATAGGTCCATTCTTTTCTAAAAATGTTATGTTAATATATTTTTGGGATTTATATTGATTTATGAAAAAGAAATCATATAGTTTATTGCGTAAAATTATTTTAATTTTAAGGCCATTTTTTGGTAGGGAGGTTGGTATTTTTAAAAATTTACGTACAGTAAAAAATTGGTAAACTTGTACTTTTAAATAGTAGAGGAGAAATCATCAAATGGTTGAACTTTTAACGCAGAAGAAAAAAGAGCTCCCCAGTGTTAGCCCCTGTTCTCGATCCCACGAGGACCTTTACTCTTAGCATACATGCTAGTCCGAAAGAAATAAAAAATTAATTTAAGCTTAATTTCTTTAAACTTTGCCAGCATTTAATACCATCACGTCATGGTTATCTAGTCTTGTACGCATATTTGTTTAAATTGGGCATCGTTAGTGGTGGTTAAAAAGTTTGTAATACAAATTTATTAAATAAAAAAATGAAATGGTTAAGCATGCAAATTACTATCAATTCAAATAACTGAGAAAAAACTCCAACCACAATCGGGAGAAGTTGGTAAGTACGCATTACCCACATTTATGTAAACAAAGCCCTTTATTGGTATTCCCCCCCCCTAAGTTTTCAGCTAATGGTCACACAAATCATATTTGTGAAAATAGCTTCCCATCAAAATTT